TTATTTACAGCATATTTCACATTATTCTCAAGAACAGAGGATACGCTTTTAAATCTGGTTGGACAAAACAGAATTTAAGATGAGGTTAAAGTCAACTTGCCCTCCAAACCCCCAGTGTGTTGTCTGTCTTGAAGACACCTTGGGGGCATGGTCACTTATCCCATTGATACAGTGTTTGTTTGTTCTTCACTGCTGTCCCTGTCAAGTGAAACAGATTATCTAGTAGGGGCTATCAGCTGTCATTTTCAAGCAGGGTGTGCATGCTGATGTGTCACTATAAGATATTATTTGCAAGAATGCATTTTGGGAACACTGTCGGGCAAAATGAATGGGAGCTAATGCTCCTAGCAGCCTTGGAATGAGCCCACAGAGAAGGGTGGCTAATCCTATCATTCTACACCATTCATCTCCAATCCACTTGGCTTTCAGCATTTTTCTCAACGGGCAATTTGTGGCATCCCTGCTGGATCTCCTCAAAGCCAGTGTGTTATGACTACAAAACACTTCCAGGGCCGCTTGGGAGTCAGAGAGGAGGCCACTAAATGTAGTCTGCGACCCTGTCACTGTCCACACTGACAGCTGCCAGCCCACTGCACGCTGCCAGAAATAGCTTAATGACAGATACTTTCGGAAAACATCAAATTGGGGCCTGTCAGCATCAAATTAGGAATAAAAAGGAGGCTCAGTTGCCCACATGATCATTAGTCAACAACTACAATGCCTGCTGTATGTTTATGCCACATACCCTCGAGACTAAAATCCTACTTATTTTGTCTCAACAAAACACTCCCCGAAGACTCAGAAGGAAAGCTAAATTAAATGAAACAATAATGATGTTTTGGGTAAACATGGCTATTCTTTTATTCTAAAAGGTCACAGTCTAAGGGGTGTTTAATATGTCTCTAAAACGAAACAGAGTCTAAGGCTGAATGGCTTCCAGATGGTGGCGTCCCCCTCCACACAGTCTGTCTGTTTCTGCCTGACAGATGCTACGCTTGCTTCCAGGGAAGAATCTGAGCAGCCTTCCATGACTAACCAAGACAGGGGACCTGCATTAACCGTCTCCTCAGTTCCATGTACTGTATGGCTTTCCAGCTCTTTGGAGAGGAGGTCCCCCAGGGTCTGACAGTACACAGCTAGTACAGTACACACATACCCATGAGTGCATTGTTAAAATACACATACACACAGGTGAATATTTTTTTCTTTCACCAGATATAAAATGCTCATCTTGATTGCAAGAAATTATGCTTTCAGGTACAAGATAATGTGATTGACAGGTCCCAGTCAGTGGTTAAAAATCTGCACGTATTACGCACTGCATGGCACCTTAACACACAAACAACAGATTAAAAAAAAAAAAAGGCTTTCTATAATTTGTCCTCCAAAAATTCTGTGAATAAAATAATGTGGTACTGCTGAGTAGCGAGTTTCCCCAACAATCTCAGCTGTTTCCAAATAGACCATAATAACAAGGCATGCTCTGTATATCAGAGCAACTATGATGAGACCTATTTAATATGTTCTGGCTCAAGCAAATATTGATAGCCTGCTGGAGCATCTTCCCTCCTATCAGCCAGGAAGGCAGTGTTATTATCACAATTCATGTCTAGAATCAATCCACCAAAAATCCATATTTCTAGCTATATTTCCTCTTTGGTTCCTCACCTGCGCCTACTTTGGAAGCAAATAACATACTGTAGTGTAACAAGCACTGAGCAGAGGAGGGGGCTGTTTCACAATATGCTGCTCATCATCCCAGTGCTGCAACTCTACTCGCAGGCTGCACAGCTCCTATGGCTCCCCTGTGTGAAGTTGCAGAGCTCAGCCGGCAATGCTGGCTTCCTGACTGTGGGCTGTGGTCAGTCAGAGCCCAGGGAGCTGTGACAGCCTGCTGCTCTTTCAGCCGCAGCAAAAAAGGAAAAAAAAAACCACACTGAAGCATAATAGTCTTCTAGACCGAAAAGAAATTAGCAAAAAAAGGGTTGCAACAACACAGGCACATTCACATATGCCCCAGGAAGATGCAAGACATAAAAAACATAGTGTTTGTATGCACGTGGGCAAAATACAAGCTATCGCTTTCCAGGATGTGCTGCAGCCAAATGATTTGACAAACACAACTCAATAAGGCCATCCAGCCATTGGATATTTATCCAGAGAGTAAGACAGAGTGAGGAAGTGAAAGACTGCACTGTTCCAGATAGCTTTCAACTACAGAGTGGGGGTTAAACGGCAGGTTTCTTGGCTCAGGTTGATCGTCATTTTTCATCTGAAGGCCATCAGTAAGGCTTAGAAAGGCATCCTTTACTTACAATTTGTCCTTTGGTCAGGGGTAGTTATATACACAAAATGTTCATGCCTGCTATACATTTCAGCCAATATGGGCTTAGTATGACAAAGCATGAGTTCTAAGCCTTTAGATAAAAAATAAGCTAAATACAATTTGTGTAGAGGAGGTTATTTTATCCGATGCACTCTTCACGCAGAAAAATTTACCAAACAAAATAAATTAAAAATGTAGTTCTCTGGCCTGCATGAGACATTTTTACATAACTTAACAAATTTACCCAATTATCCTTTAAAACTAAAACAAAGAAATCATAATTAATTCATATAATTTTAATGCCCCCATGATCCACTGTCTGAGCTGCCCCACAAGACTTTATGGACTTAAGGATATTCATTCAGATTGTTATTACCAAATTAGTTTTATTTTATAGTAATAGTAAGAATACATCTAGAAACTCAGAAACAACCCTTAAACTCAGCCAGGAATTGCCTTAAGTTGCCTAAAACTCATATTTTCCATATTCCCCAGTTTCGTCCCAGTAGAGCTTTAAATCAGTGCACACTGATCACTTAGGGATAGGAAAAGCTCTTCCATCTAATTCCATCTGGGGGTACTACTGCAGCAAATGTTTAGTCATACACAGTGAACTGCCCTAAGGTAAAGGAAATGCATTTTCAGTCCTGAAATTCAGTGGTTATTCCCTGTAAACTCCATGTCTTGACATGCTACAATCACAAAGATTTTGATGATACGACTGTGGTAGCCGTTCTGTTTCATAGCCTAAAGGGTGGCTTTAAGCTCTAAGAAACAGGGATTAACTACCGAGGTCTGCTTCTTTTTAATCTTTCATGCTCAAGTTTATTTTGTGTTAGGCTTTGTTTTGACTCCTATTCCTTTGTAATGCCCTGGAATCCCCATTAGGAAGCCAGCCGTCTAGGATTCCCAAATGTAGCCCCCCTCATTTGCCCACTTTTTAGACCCACTTGGTGGGGTGCCCTTCTTCGGTGGGATCTCTTGTTTCTCTCACACAGCAAAGCTCATAGTGAGACCCTTTCAGAGGAGTCAAAATGAGCTTAGTGCTGATCAGCTAACCAAAAACTTGGACTCATTGTGCTCTGCACCAGGCAAGACTGTCTGTTAACAAAGAATTAGGACCAGAGAACCCTTGGAGCCTTTCTTCAAGTAAGTCTTGCATATCAAGGCAGGCTAGGGTAAAACTAAATCAAGGCCACATCCTTGCTTGAAGAAACAGCTATTTCCCTTTCGCTTTTGGTAAAAAAGGAGAAACGAAATGCACTGTGGCTAAGATAATGTAATGACTAGGCGCATCCAACAAGGCCAGTCAATCACAGAACACCAGTGTTTTCACTGAAGGCTTGTTCAACACGGAGCAGCTGTATAAATACATTAGACAGGATCCAGGCAGCTCCCAGGAAAAACAGAAACTCTGTTTCTTATAAATATATGGATTCTTGGATAAATAAATCAAGAGATAGGCCTAAACTAAATAAATCTTTGGAATGTGCCAGAAACAAAGAAAGGATTGGAATATTTGTGGATGAAACCAGACAAGCTGCTGGTGGTTCCTGCAATGAGGACTAAGGGGCCTCACTGCTGTAGAGCATGCAGTCCCTCTGCCCATGAAGCCTCGAGCACACCTGGGTAAATTTTTTTATTGTGTAAATGACATTCTAATGTAATGCCATGCTTGTAGCTCATCATATCTTACTAGATGCAACTGTTATTAGGGAAGTTTAAAGATAAGCAGGTATGCTGCTGATTTTTATAGAACTTCAAAACATTTACCATAACAACTTCAGTCATTTGGCTTCACAATCCATTTAATTGCTACCCAGAGGTGTCTGTCGCTCTCACAATAAGTCATCAACAGAGCAGGAATTTGTCACAATCATCTTTAATGAAACTGGCACTCATCTATGTCTCATCTCTCTGTTGGTAAGTACTTCCATTGATTGGCCTCTGATGAGGCTGCAGGGCAGTAGGTTGGTGCTGAAAATGTGATTCGTGGCTATTTGGTGTGATACTGATTTGTTTACCTTCTGTGGGCAGGGCAATCAATACATCACATGAACCAGACTGAAACATACGGTCCAGAACAGGCTAGAAGCTGTGTGAATTGGCTGTTGCCAGCTGTGGATTGCATGGGGATTTTCTCATCTAAAGCTCTAATCATTAAGACACATTCAGGACAATAAACCTGGTGCTTTTCCAGGGTTTTAAGGAAGAAAATACTAATAATTTAAAAAAAGGTCATCGTTTTCTAACCTAAAAGTGGCATCCCAAACAATGACTGAGGAAAAACTGCACAGTTATTATATGTGCAATATGGAGAGGTGGATACAAAGGCTTGCCTTTTATTTAATCACAAGCCAAAGTAGTCTACATGAAAAGCCTTCATTTGACAAACATGAAACATTACCATTTTGTTGTGTTTTCTGTTGCTTTTGTTTAAATAAAGAAGATTAAGGCTTTTCAGAACTGTATCTAAAATGAAAGATGCTAAATCCTTTTGTTCTTGTACCTTTTCCAAATTTCCTAAAATTTTCAAACACAGCTTTTCTCACTGAAGGCTTACTCACTGTCAAACAGAAACACAGAGGCATATAATTTCTTTCTTTCAAGGTGCACAGAACACAGGCACATTTCTCCTCAGATGAGTGTGAACGTGGTAGCGTACAGTACTCACCACAGTGCTCAAGCCATGCTCCTTCATCAGCCTGAGGGAGTTCTGGTAGCAGGAGGTGAGGTCATTGGTCTCGGTAGGGCCCACATGACCTCTGGCCACCGGACCCACGGTGTGGATCACATCTGTCAGAGGGGGACAACACACAAAGCTTATTTCAGCACAGCCTACTTCTAGCAAGGTTACATGGTTGGCAGTTTTTCTAGCGGTGCCATGTAGTGCAAGGATAAGTACAAAACCTTTTAGCTGTCTGCCATGAAGCTGAGCAGTTTTTAGAATCTGCAAAATCACCATCAAATACATAATACGATAAAGTTTGTCTTTACAATGAGACAATGGGGACGGCGTGAACAACCCACTGCCTGAAATGAATGCATTTATTCAGTAAATGAAATGGCAGCTTAGATAGAAAATCAATTACAAGATTCTTTTATGCCATCTACTCAAATATTCATATCTCTCCCTGTACTCTCCTTCCCTTCGCATAGTAATGTCTTTACCTGTCAATCACTGGTCTCCTTGTCTGGCCTGGCCAGACTAGGGAATGCAGCTTCTTAATAGAATCATAGGAGTGATGACAGGAAAATAAGAGTATCTAAGCAGTGACTTGACAGAAACATAATCTTCCGCATTCTGCCTGCCTACCCTTGGCCTTCTCATTGTTGGACAGGACAGGTCAACATCAATATACAAGAGGTAACTGCATCACCCACAGAGCATTCCAGAGAGGTGCACCACAGGTGTCGTATTTATGCGGACGAACCTCAAGGACTTTTGTCACAAAGTAAAAAGTAATTAACTCATAAACATGACTTCTCTGTGTGTATAAAAATGTTTATATGCCTGATAATACCTCAAAAGGGTTATCAAGGTTTTAATCCACAAAACCACGTTTGATTGAATGCTTTACTGTTTATTCAAAAGCAGACTGTTTCAATGTGCTACTCCATTCAGCAGTATTGGCTGGTAAATTTCAATTCATGGCCCATTAAATATGGATCAACTATGACTCATACATTTGCAATTTAACGCATCAAGTCCCCATTTCTGTGCGTTAAAATATTAAACCCTCTTAAAGTATGAATACTAAAAATTAGACCCGGTTCAGGTGAGGACATGCAAGCAAAACACAGCAGCAAAATGTGTGCAGTTACCCCATGTGTTTTCTTACACCTAACCTCACCATTTACTTATAATCTAAAACATTTAGCCTCGCTTTCTCACTGAATAAATGTAAGCTATGTTACTACTCTACTTGACCATAAATCATTTATAGATTAAATTTAGTTCTCAGTTGTATGTCTGGTTGCTTAATAGGTCAGGATGATAAAATGCATGAGAAACCACTATAATCAAGTGGCTCTCACTGGTGTTGCTTAAGAGGTGAGATTTTGTGTTTGGGAGAGGTAAGAACTAAGGGGTTTGGGTGATCCCCAGCTAAGCTGAGGTTGGGCTGTAATGAGAATGGAGCTGTCTGAAGTATTGTCTTTTTCCAGAATAGCAGGTCGAAAATTGCATAGCAGAATGTGGTTATAATGGGACACGTGGTAACTTGTTTTTCGTGCATAATTCATGATGTTCTTTACTACAAGAACGGCAACATGCCAATTAGAGTGTGGGCAAGCGCCAAAAACCAGACTACTGGTGAATTCATGAAAATTTAAACAATTCTTATCTTACCAGTACCTATGTCTTCACTCGTATCCTTAACACTTCCATACATTAAATACATATTTATACAGCTGTGTTTCTGTAAGGTGAAAGATACATTTCACTTTGTAACTAAGAAGGGATATTACAGGAAGGACAGTTAGTTGCTGTAGCACTCTAAAACGCTCTGGCAGCTGCTTCAGTATCTCTGTAAACACAAATGACCTCTCTGCCCTTGGTCTTGGAGCAACTGAGATTATTTGTTTTCTTTAAAGGAAACGCACAGTCATTCTCTAAATACAACAAAATCCAGTGATTACTTGCAATGGGGCGTTACAGGGCATTAAGCTGCTATAAAATTAGAGCAACTTTATTTAATCATGATTTTCTGAAGACATGGGAGCATTACTTAAAAAATCTTCTCCGTATCTACACTGAAATAAAAATAATAATTAGAATTAGAATTAGTTAAGTTATATTGATAAATACAGGCAGGTTAGTGTAGTGCATTAGCTATGGGCAATTTAACTGTGAAGATATGTGCCCAAAGGTTAGGACTCCCTCTAAGCACATAAAAATACTTCATTTGAAGACTCAGGAAATGGTTATTTATGGCTGCAGTGTTTTTTTCAATACATAAATTATACAAAGATGCTCTTTGCAATAAGAGTTTGAAAAGCTCTGGCACATAATCCATCCAACGTGGGTCTTTATCATCATTGTCTCCTGGTAGGACCTTCAGCTTTTATCATTATTTGCATCCATTAGCTGACAGACACATTTCAGTGTATCAGTGTTTCTGCCTTGCTCAGAAGCAAATACCGACACATGTATACCATTATCTCCGGACAACCTTCGTACAAGAGGAACATAAATCTCTATCTTAGCGGGGTTGAAAAGATTACTAGCGGCCCTCTTGCACTTGGGCATGATTGCGGGGGTTTGATAACAGATGCAGAAAACATCAAGAGAAATGTCCTGATGAAATACATTAAAGAGATGCTCTTGTTTGGTAAATTTCAAATCTTCACACCAAAAGCAAAAAGTCTGCAGCCCTGACCTGAAAAGAAGAATTCACTAGAGAAAGATAAGGAAATACGGCAATGGCAAGGAAATAAAAAGCCAATCACTTCTAAATTTACCTGTAAAGAAACAGGATGGAACTACAGAGGCTAAATTACAGCCGAGCACAGTTTGCTCTGAGCATACAAAATAAGTCATTAAGGAATTTAACAGAACTCTTCTTATCAAAATCCCCACTGCACACACCTCCTTCAAGACCCATCGCCTTGCCAATTCCACAAGAAGTTAATGAGCTTCCATTCCAAGATATGTTTTTTAGCAGTTTTTCCTCACAATATCTCGACTGGAATTGTTCATTGTGGTCTCTTGCTTGGGGCTACAAGGTCAGTAACACAATTGAACCAGCAAAGACTGATGATTGCCATTCAAACCGTGCTTTCTGTCCACATGAGCTCCTAGGCTCTGCAAAAACAAAAACAAAAAGAAAAGAACAAATAATCTCACAGCTTTATTCTTTCTATAAGAGTAAAATTATAATACGGTTAACCCTCAAATTAATTAGGACCAAATTAAATACCTTAATAAGACTGATATTGTCTTTTGTCCTGTTATTATACTCTATAAGGCTACACACTGCATTGTATTATACTTCCTACAACACAAACCAGTGAAACATGAACAATTTATTTTCCTCAGCATATGTTTGGATGTTTATTTTCTCTGTTACTAGGACCACTCAGCATGGGCAGGTGTCCTACTAGCAACAAACTACTCTAACAGGGATGCAGTGGAGTGTTTAAAATTGTTGACAATCTGGTCAGTCGTTTTTATCCTAAATGGAGGAAATGCGCTACAGTGCATGCATTATACCGGCCTGCTCGAGACTTCTAATGTGCCATGATTAGCACACTTTTCTCCTATCAATTCTGCTAGTCAATAAAAAAGCACTGAAATTGAGAAACATGTAACAAACTGCAGAGTGAACAGGAAATTGTTGTTTTTATCTTTTTTGTTCAGGACTACTGTGCAAACAGATTATTTGGTCACATTTACTCAAATCCTATTCAAGCAAAAACCCAGCTTCATGCATATGCATGGAGGTTACTTATAGAGACCAGTGTTGGTGTTTCTACAGTTGTTAAAAAATCACAGCAGAAATGCATTATTGGATACTATTATACAGAAGAGAATTTCAAATGCACATAATGTAGCCTTTGTCTGAATGCCCTCAGCACCAGTGTGTGGTCCTTTCCTTTAGTTTGTTGGGCAGAGTGTCATGTTTGTTGGGGCAGGTATAAAGGCAATGTTAAATGTTTACCCATCAGGTACAGAGGGAAATAATAACTGAAGTGCATGTACAAGACTAATTCTCTCAAATTAGACTAAATTTAATCTTTATTTAACCAGAAATAATTAATTCAGAAAATAAGTGTTGTTTTCCAAACCAATACATTAAACTGCTCTGCCACTGTTATACATGAGAAACCACCACTAACTGACAACGGTGACCGTAAGAAAGAGTAGGATTTAAACAGTAAACGTTCACATAACTGCACAATTTTAACACATCACTCATTACATTCGGTTCAGTAACCCAGCTTACATGGACATGATATATTATGTGAATACAGAGTATTACAGAGTGTTACAGGATCAATAGTTGATCCAGTTCTAAGGCTTTAACCTTTGTAATGGGGCTTCCTAGAGCAAATCTGCATAAATAAACTGTACCTCAAGGAGTAACTGTTGGTTTAAAACTGCCCCTAAACTTAATTTTGTTTGTGCTGGAGATGCAGAGAGGACACCAAATTCCTGTCCAGACATTATAGAACACTATACCAAACTATACTACTATAGGGAACCCTTAAAAGAAAAATGTGATGTGGGATGTGTGGGATATATTTTCTTAATGTAGACCTATTCAGACGTCAAACATATCTTGACATATTCCTCTAAATTGCATGGGCCTTACTGTGCACTGTGCAACTGCATTATGTAAGGAAATATAAATATCAAATGCGGACTCAATTTCAGACCATTCTTAAGAGCGAAAAAATTAAAAATAAAACAAATCCCAACCGACATATTCCTCATGGCAAGTGATTTTCAGTAAGCCTGGTCTTCTCGGGATGGACTGGACACGAAATGACCCTTTAACACACCAACTGCGGAGCATGTGTGTGAACATCTTAAGATAAGCCTACTGAAATATTCCTCTGCTGAATAACTACCAAGGGGACATGCTCACTTCAAAGACGCCACTTTCTTAGCAACTAAAAAATCTTTTGAAATATCTAGACTTCATTTAGAAGAGAAATGCTGTGCTATATCAGAGAGGGACCAGCACTTCACAGCCTAATCAATCTTTCATTTTAACTTGCCTGTACTGACTTTGAGGCTGCTTTAACATTCCACATAATAACAATTCAGAAGGTTGAAAATACTTGAACAC